AGAATTAATAGTTCTATTGGTTGCTTTGTTGTGCAAAAGTTAAATGGGGCCCTCATACGTCACCCAGATATTAAAATTGATCAGCCCAAAATATTCCTCGATTGTGTACATTTATCAGATCTTGGAAATTCTATATTTACAACTACAATTCAAACGGCATTGTCCAAGTTTATGACTTCCAGTCAAAAAGTTTTCCTCATCCTCCCCTAAAACACAGTATCTGTGCATGGCTTATAAAAGGCCCCCACATACCATCCCATAATCATATTCCCGATAGTAGTCACAATTGTATTGAGTTGAATTGCTTTCCTTATCCCCTATAATAATCCCCTCACCACCCCACCCCCCCTCAAAAAAAAAATCATGTTTGATGATGCATTGTTGTGTTGTACTGTATTGCTTGCTTTGCCACATTGACCATTGTTGCTACCCTGCATATTGTTTTGAATTGCATTGTGAATCATTGCGTTGCATAAGACATAATGTCTTGTTTGCCAAATTGTCCGCCACTTGTTGGCGGATGGATTGCTGTCTTGATATTCACGTACAGCAATCCACTTGGCAGAATTTTGCAACAAGCCATCGCTGGCAACTTCTGTTTACTGTCCAGGGTTGTCAGCACCATATGGCTCCTCCTTTCTGCAAACCGTATGCGCCAAATGCCAGATTGAGGATCGGCGCTTACTCATTGACACTTGCAATAATACTTGATAATTGTCCATTGTTTTCATAGCATTGTTACATTATGTAATGACCCTATATTAAACAAAATAAAGCCATGACAGATACTGCCATTATGAATTGCTTATTCTTTCGAGATAATTGCATTTACTGCTATGTGCGGTAAATGCCAGTTATCGAAGAAGAATAGGCTAAGCGCGATAACTCCCTCTGCCCTCAAACAAGTTGCCAAAATGACACATAAGTCATGTAATGCGCTTGCGCACACATCCTTTCCGCTTCACCGATTTCGATCACCCACCCACCCTCACCATTTAATTACATTTATATTCTTCATCAAATTTGCGAAGTTTTTCACCAATCATCCCTAAAACCTGGTTACATAAATATACATACATATTGTCTTTCTATCTTAGGCATGCTAGGGCATAAATCTTGTGCATTCAAGTTTTTTGTTTGTTTTCTTCTGTGTTTCTGCTGTTATCATTTCTAATTCCAGTGCAACATCGCCCTTCGTCATGGCTTTAGAGACCCTTCCAGGCTGCAATCCATGTCGACGCACCACAGAATTTTGCAACAAGCCATCGCTGGCAACTTCTATTTATCGTCCAGGGTTGTCAGCACCATATGGCTCCTTCTTTCTGCAAACCGTATGCGCCAAATGCCAGATTGAGGATCGGCGCTTACTCATTGACACTTGCAATAATACTTGATAATTGTCCATTGTTTTCATAGCATTGTTACACTATGTAATGACCCTATATTAAACAAAATAAAGCCATGACAGATACTGCCATTATGAATTGCTTATTCTTTCGAGATAACTAGACAATATTTCTTTATGCAAATACACTGACAATAGTTTTGCTTCGTTTGATATTGTAAAAACAAAATGAAGAGAGTTTGAATTGAAAAATGTCATTTATTTTGATCTAATAAATGACAAGACAAATCATGCAAAAATACTAATTAAACAAATTGACAAATATCATAATCATAAAAAACATGTGCATAAAATTAACAAATACATTTTGTTAAGCCAATTATCATAAGTGGGGCATAAAAAATCGCCCATACAGTTTTACTATACACAAGAACAAAATGATTTAAATCGTTCAATTTATTTCTCTCATCAAACATGGCAAGAACATAAAAAATAAAATTAAATCATTTTGGTGGGACGGTGGGAAAAACAAATCAAGATGACTGACGAATGTATGTTGACAAGGCAATGCACGCTGGAAGAATGAAGGCGTGCGCAAAATTAGCTGAATCTGCAGGCATGTTACGAAACTTTCCTAAGATTGTTCATAAGAAATTTCCTAAGACATATCTTAGGAAAATCTTACGATCATCGTAAGATTATTTTAAGGTGTTTTTCAAAGCTATCTTATGATTATCCTAAGCTAAGACGTCTTAAATCATTATGACATAGAAATACTCCAAGCTTTTAACACCATTGTCAGGGATCAGAAAGTTGTAATTTTTTGCTATATATATATAATGATACACGTTATGTCACCATAATGAAAATATCTAAAGGAGCGAAAGTTAAAATAAAAATTTAAGGGTTTTTTAAATTTATAAATATAAATTATATATCTAAAATTATTAATCATCTAAATTCAACGATATACTGTAATATTGGGTACGTTTAAAATCAAATAGAGTGCCATTTGATCATTCAGAATACTTGAACGATGAAAAGTGCGCCAATTTACATGAGTGAAACGGAATGCAGAGCAAAATCGGAAGGAAGTAGGCAAAACTGGAGGAGCCCGCCCCCCTCCCAAACTAAATCATTCGCAAGAAAACATTGTGGGAATAATTGGTTATACTCCAATCTCTGCCACAGAGGGCGGTATCAACACCTGTGAGGTCACCCGGAAAACCCATTTATTAAACTTTCTCTCTCTCTCTCTCTCTCTCTCTCGATTTTCCTAAGTTTAGACGTCTTACATCATTATGACAGGAAACACCCCTCTCTCTCTCCCTCCCTCTCTCTCTCTCTTTCTCTCTCTCATAGGTTAAGATTGATTGATTGTATATTATTTAATTTAACGTCCCTCTCGAGAATCTTTCCTCATACGGAGATGCCATCCCTCGTCGGTGGAGAGCTACAAATGTTCTCCTATTCTCGAGACTTAGGATCATTGAGCAATGAGGGATCTTTTTCGTGCCACCACCAACTGCGACACGGGGCCTCGGCTTATACGATCTCATCCGAAAGACCGGTCTCCATGTCCCACGGTGGGATTCGAACACGACTTCAGACGTAAGGATCAAATCCTTACTCCGCGACTCTCTCAGGTTAAATGAAATTGAATTTTATTCTGTTAATTATCAGGATACATATTCTTACTATGTATGCTGTGCATCTGCATGAGGCACTGGATGTCATAAGAATTTTAACGATGGATATTCTTGGAAAGTAGATGCATACAGGCATGTTATTTAACATGGGGGAAGGGAGGACGAAACATGCTATTTACATTGTATCAATGAAAATATTCAAAGGAAGATCGCCCCTTCCCCCATTTTGTGTTGTATATTAAAAAAAGGGTGATGTAGTAGTGTACTAGTAAAATTTGTCACCAAAGAAGTTGACACCTAGCCCCCCTCTTCCCCAGCAAAAAAGATTTTCGCACAGGCACCTGAAGTTACTTATTTTTCTTTTAATGAAAAAATATACCCCTACCTAAAAATAGATTATTATTATTATTATTATTTATTTGAAGAAAAATAAAGTAACGTCAGGTGCCTGTGGATTTTCGAGCTACAAAATGTTTGGGGTTCTTTTTCGCTAGTCAAGTTTTTTTTATAAACATAAGTTAAATTCTTGTTCTATGTTAGTTGGATTCTTTTTCTACCCCCCCCTCCCCCTTCAAAATCGATGCGACGTCCGTGTCATGTGTAAATGCAGTACATTTATAACTGTGTAATTATTCAACATCTGTAAACCACATGATATATAGTTATATACACAATACAGAAATCCATGATTTTTTTATAGCATTGAAGCTTCAAGGAGGGGGGGGGCATAGAAAATAAATATTACTTTTAAATGAAATAGAGCGCAATATCATTAATCAGTCAAACTGTATTACATTTGTTTTGATAAACACACCAACAAAAATTAATAGTCTTATCAAACATTTTATTTAACGAAATCCATATATTACAGTAGTATATAATTTTTACAGCTGTCGTTAACGGTCCCGACATACTAGTAATCAGTCTTTCGAGTTCTTCCTATATATCTTTAAACTCTCAATCACGTCTGATACGACGATTTCTTCGATCCAGCAACAGCATTGACGCAGCTATTTCTACTTACGACTGACTTTTGATAGGTCTAAAGCTGTCGTAAGTTTAAGATTATTCTTAAGAACTTTCTTAAGTTACGATACTTTCGAAAACCCCACATAGTCTTAAGAATTGTCTTAAGTATATCATAAGACGTTTCTTAGTCCTAAGATAGCTTCGTAATCATGCCTGCTGGTCAGTTGCTGATAAGAGATTATCAGATTACAGGAATGTAAACTGGCGAAGAGAAAAATCGGAGTTGTTCTTCTTGCCATGTCAGATGTTTTACATAAATTAATTTAATGTTGTAAATTAAGATTTTGTTATATTTAAATGACATAGGATATTTCAAATCTGATATTTTATAAAGCAAAAACAACAAAACAAAACAAAACAAAAACAAACAAACAAACAAACAAAAAAGGTACTAGGTATTTACATATATTTACAAGGAGAAAGGCTACTTTTTCCAGACTAAAATTACATAAAACTGATAGTTCTCTTCTGAGAGAATTAACAACTTGACATAGTAAATTATGTAACACAGTTGTTTATCATTAACATTTTATACACAAAAATTGTGTATTTCAACCGTACATTACTGTATTCACTAGTGACGCCATCGTACTTTAGTGCAATGCCACGTGAAATTTATGCGCAAGTAGATTGGGTGGTATTAAAAAAAACAAGATTAAATATGATAAATAAAATGTTCTTATTTGAAGTGTTATGCATACTACATGTATGACGTAAATGATATTTAATGTTAAAAAAAACGAAACATGGGGATGTGTTCTTTTCCATAATCCGTTAACAGATCTAGATATGATCTTTGAAATACAACGAAGATTTAATTTTTTTTCTTCGAATAAGCCACAAAGCAAGTACCGGTAGCAATAATGTTTCAACACATTAATGACAACTTTCAGTACCATGGTAAGAAAACAATGTTGTAAATAATTAGTTCTTTTTTTCAAATTGATGTTGTAAAATTTTTCTTTATTTTCTTCCAGAACCAAAATAATGCTCCTGTGGTATCATTTTTTACATACGCTGCGCTGGATAAACAAGGAAACCTGTCTTACTTTAAAAATAATGGTAAATCAGCAATTGTTGGTAGCAGTGAAGAACTTGGAGACTTTCATATTTCTTTCAAAACATCAACCGATTCCCGAATAATAGTGCATGATTCTTTTGAAGGTCATGTATCTGGATTGGATGTTTTAGATAAGACTCTTTCAGAACATTTTGTACCTAAACCTTTAGTTGAAAATAAGGAATACATGTCACTTAACGGGACTAAAGAGACGGATCGTGGAATAAATTTTGTTGTTCACCAAATAACAGCCCAGTTACCACTTAAGTTTGATATTATTTTAAAATCAAATAGTGTTCGTTCAGAAAATATTCTTCAAGGTGAAATACTAACTAGAGAGATAGAAAAACGTTCTGGAGAATTTGACAAAAAGTTTTCTTCTGTTTTTAATTTGGAATCGAAAAAATACACACTAAAAGCCATCAACTTTGCAAAAGCAGCACTGAGTAATATGCTTGGGAGCATAAGCTACTTCCATGGTTCATCTCGAGTACAATCTGAAAAGAGCGAAGAAGTTTTAAAGCATAGGCAAGCTACACTATATACGTCTATACCATCTAGATCAAAATTCCCAAGAGGGTTTCTTTGGAATGTAGGGTTTGATCTTCATTTAATAACTCTTTGGGATGCAAAAATATCAAAAGATATCATTGCACATTGGTTAAACTTGATAAATGAAGAAGGATGGATACCCAGAGAACAGATACTTGGAGAGGAAGCAGAAGCTAAGGTTCCATCTGAATTTATTGTGCAAAGAAACAACATTGCAAACCCACCTTCTCTTTTTCTAGCCATTCAACATCTTATTAAAAACAAACAAAATGTCAAGGTTTTCTTGGAGATTTTTTTTCCAAAAATGGAAAAATGGTTCGAATGGTTACAAGTAAGTCAAGCTGGAAAAATACATACTTCATTTTATTGGAGGGGAAGGAAAGGCTTCGCGGAAATGGAATTTATTCCATACACCTATGCTTCTGGGTTAGATGATTACCCCCGTGCGTCCCATCCTGACGAAAATGAGCGTCACCTTGACCTTCGTTGTTGGATGGCGATGGCTTCGGGAGTATTAGCGAACATTGCAAAAAGGATTGGAGAGGACTCAAGCGCATACGAGAAAATTTATGAAGATCTTACTGATAACGAATTGTTAGACAGATTACATTGGGACTCTAAACAAAAAATTTTCAGTGATTATGGATTGCATGCTAATGACATCGACATATACAGTGATGATGGAGTGCTTATTGATAACATAGACATGTTCAGTCCCACCAGTAAGTTCTATTATGTTCATGCACATCCAACATTTAGATATACTGGGATATTTGGATACGTTAGCTTATATCCTTTGATGCTAAAAATTCTTGATTCAGATTCTCCTCGATTGGAAAAAATGCTGTCAGACCTGAGAAAAGAAGATTTGTTATGGACAAAATATGGGATACGGTCATTATCTATAAAGTCAGAATTTTACAACAAACCAAATACGTTCACCGACCCTCCGCACTGGAGAGGAGCAATATGGATAAATATGAACTACCTAATTATCAGTGGACTTCACCACTACTCTCAAGTTCCTGGTCCTTATCAAAATCAAGCAAGTAATATTTATACAGAGCTAAGAAAAAATGTTGTTCAGAACATTTTCAAACAGTACAATAAAAGAGGTTATGTATTTGAACAATATGATGACATTACTGGAATAGGCAAGGGGAGCTACCCTTTTACTGGATGGTCTGCTCTTGTTGTGAACATAATGGCAGAAAAATACTAAGCTTCTAAGAACAGCAAGGTAAAGAATAGTAATAACATAAATATAACGCAACTGAAAACTTATTGTGAATTCCTCTTTTCAATGAAAATGCAGAAAACCATTTAAAATGTGACGATTTTTATACCCCCCGCTTGAAAAGCGGGAGGGTATATAGTAATCGGTATTTCCGTCCGTCTGTACGTCCGTCCGTCCGTCCGTCCGTCTGTCTGTACGTCTGTCCGTCCGTCCGTCTGTTACGCTTTGGGGTACCCATCTCTTATCCGCATCACCTCTCATACCACTGAAGGAAATTTAATGAAACTTTCACAGAATCTTTATTACATATTGCCAATGTGCACCTCCTATTTTACTTTTGAATCCAACTCATATTTTGGGTTTCCCGGCTACTGCAAAATATGGACTTTGCCATTATAACTATGTGGAGGCGGGGGGTATCATTTAGTGAGCTCATCGCTCACAGTACCTCTAGTTTTATATCGTGCCAAACAAAAATATATATCGTAACAAAAAAATGGCTAGATTTGATAACAAATTAAAAATAGTAAGATCAATCTATGTAATTAAATCCTTGAAATATATGTACATGTATAGAATACATGGTGTAAAATTTCTTAACAATTCCTTTTTTGTAGAACTGTAATTGTAGTTTCAATTGAAGTTGTTTGCATTTCTTTTCATTATTTGAACATGCTATTAGCTAAACATGAGTGTGTATTAGTAGAAAAAAGCAAAAAAAAAAGTAAGGGGAGCGATTCAAAAGAATTTGTATTTTCGTGTGAAGCTTGGGCAACTTTTACTTTTTGTATGCAAATTAGATTTTTTTAAACTCTCATAAGAGTTAGGAAGCATACTTTACATTTTTTTAAATATGCTTTTTTTCTGACATGGTATTCATCAGGCTTTTATTTTTTTTAATATGTCCAACTATTAACTATGGCTTATTCCTGAGTATAATTTGTCATCAAGCGTCCATATAACATTATAAATTTTCAATTGATGAATCTTAGGTAAAGGTTTGTTGCAGTAAAAATGAAGAACTGGGGGGCTCACTACTTACTTACTACCTTTAGTTGATGCGACCTGTCTCAAACATAGTTCATTGTATTTCCTTTGTAATTTTATTTCCAAACATACTAGAAGTAAAATCTTGCTTGCGTCGTATTCTGCACCATTAGAGTTCTAGGAATATTAAACTAAGTAAAATAATGATTGTACATGTATAACGAAAAGAAAATCATAAAAACTATGTCCTCATTATATTTTGCACTATAACCCGATGCAATAATTTTTAAAGTTGATTCATCTTAAGAGGATTGCAAGGTGAGGTGTGTCGTACCTTAAAAGCAGACAACTGTAGACATTGTTAATGAAAATAACAGTTTGACTACATGTATGAGCTTGCATGAAATGTTGCGGGTACTTCCAAAAGGATATGTAATGTAATGTTTTAGAGGTCCGTGTTTGCTCTTCTTTTGACTTGTATTGCTTATTGGATTTTTATGCTCGAATAACTGTTTGATACCCATGATTCTCCTTAAATTTTATCCAGAGGTTCACTTTTTGACATATCACAGGGGATTTTTTTTTTACATCATCAAACATTGTTTTAATCAAATCATTGATTTTAGTCTCAGTATTTTTATGTGCTGTCCATTTGCTTCTCTAAAATTGAATTTAATTGAACATATATAATTGATAATAAAATAGGGTTTATAAGAGTTATAAAATTACATGGAATTATAATATATACTCGATTCTCATTATATCGCGGGTTTCGTTGTATCGCGGTATGTCGCAAAAATTTGGATACATAGCCTTTATTCTTTTTATTGATGGACAATATGTTTATGTTGTCTGAATGTTTACTTTTTTGATGATTAAGAAGTATGGAACATCCGTTTGAAAAAATTATATTAAAAAAAAACGTAATTTTTCAGATTTTCAGTCACGTTTTTATTATTTTTAAGCATTAAATCTATAACATTGTAAAAATTATTCTATAGCTAATATTTTAAAGGTCTTAAGTTTGTATATTTATTTACTTTTCCTGTAGAATTACATAATAAATTCAAAAATAAAAATTGAGGTCCATGTCATCTACAAGTTTCCATGTTTTCCCAAACCGCGATACAATGAGACTCTCCTATTTTGGAGGTAAATAAGACTTCCTGTTTTAAAAATAGACAATAACTTAAACGATTCAAGCTTGGGATATAATTTTACACTAAAAAGTTAGTCCATAGATTGGTTTATTAATATTTTTTGATCAAAGTTAAAAGTGAAAAATTGGAATAACACTTTTTATGCAAAAGGATTAAGTACCGCGATATAATGAGACACCAGTATACTTTGTAAATATAATTACTATGTATATCTACCACGTGTTTTTCATATTTTGATGTTTAACTGTTTATAGAAAAATAGATCTAACTAACAACTTATTAAAACTGTATCACAAACGAGATGATTTCAACTTTTCCCATCTTTAATGAATATGTAGCAATATTCCGCAATCACTTGCACAAGGAATTTATGCTCCAAATGTAGTCGAGGCTTCGGGTACATAGGGATTCCAAATATCTCTTTTAAGTCAGCATTTAATAAATTCTCTGATCGTTTTAATGACATTTTTTGAAAATACAACCTATCACTGGATAATGTTGAATGTTTTTAAATATACCCTTTATCTGATCAATAGTTGAACATGCAGTGGGTGTGACTGGCCAACAAGGGGTGCTTTGTAGCAACCGTCAATGATAAAACGACGCTTAATGATATCAATGATAGAAATACCATAAAGCGTTCCAAATGCAATGCTAAATTCCATAAATTATTGAATTTATAGTAAACATTTTCAACCGCTTATGCTAAATTGTCACTTAATTAAAGAATTATACATACCACTTAATTGATAATGACAGCTATAAATGCAATAATTAATAACATAAAGCGTCGTATTGCAACGCTTAATTATTTTTTATCATTAAGTTCATTCATTTATTTAGCGGTTGGTAAAATGCTTACATGCTCTCCTCTTGGACACCGGATTTCACTTCTGGGTATTTCAGGGAGCCCATGTCTTATACCACGATAGATTCAATAACTGTATATGATTTTAAAAAAAATGTATGTTTTTTTTTAAATTTAAATCTGCGATTTAGATGAAGAGTCACGGATCACTTGAAAATATAATTATTTAAGAAACGACTCTAATTCTTGGCCAAATTATTCGATTATAACCTGGTTTGGGTCAGTTTACGCTTTATAATCCGCGAAGCGGAATATAAAAAAGCGTAAACTGACCCAAACCAGGTTATAATCGAATAATTTGGCCAAAAATTAGAGTCGTTCCTTATAATTTAATTTTAAAATAATTAAACAACTGTGGGTGTAAAATTGTGTTGCTTTTTATGAGTTCAAATTTGCCGCTCAATAATACATTCTTAGTAACGGAAGTGATATGAAACAAGGGGAGGTAATAACTGAAACACAGATCTAGCAGCCATGATGTCTGTTTATACGAGGTAATATCGAGCTACTGTTTGAAGTTAAAGGTACATTTATTAAATCTGGAATTTCCCATGAATCCCAAGGACTGGAAATGAGGGGATTGTAGGGATACAGATGATTCAGCTGGTTGTCAAGGGGGTGTGTCCCCATACCAAACCAGGTTATTAAGAAATAATTTGCGTTCCTTTTTGGAAATCAACCAATGAGAGACTAGAATAAAAACAAAATTAAATTATTCTCAAATAAAAGACAAAATATTATCCATGGTAGTATTTTTTGTTTGTAAAATGGCGTTTAACTTAATAAAGTATTAACAATCAGATTGAGTCTTTTTGCGTCAGTCCATCAGAAGGAAACAGGCAAGTAGTCCTTAGCAGAAAAAATAAAGAAACAAGAGGCCCATGGACCACAACACTCATCTGAGCGCACTAGCTAGGAAGAAGAAGAAACCAGCTCAGTATTGAAAAGTTTTAATTTACACTACGTCAGGATGATTCGTACATATTGTTTTGCAAAGCTCGACCCTTTTTTGGTAATGTATTGTAGCTTAGTAGATCACAATATTTTCGCGAGTAAGCTTTTTGGAATTTATTTTAATTCTGTTGTGTATAATGCTTTCTTATATATTTTTTAAATCGATATTAAGCTTTTAAGTTTTGACTATAATACACTTTTTATTGCAGCTCTCTAATTATAGACTGATTAGCATGAACATAATTGCCGATTGTTTTTTTTTTATTATGTCTTTATGTCTTATTTAGGATCTTAACAGACAAAAAAAATCTTGCTGATTATTGTGTTTTTAACAAAGCATCGGGGACCTACTAAATCAAAATTAGTAGCTGCTGTAAACATTTGATTTAATTTTCTTCTATGTTTAATTTATTCAGAGATCAATACAAAGCTTATCAAAAAAAAAAAAAAAAAACAAAAAAAAAAAAAAAAAAAAAAAAAAACAAAAAACAAAAACCAGACAATTTAAATTTTAGAATTTAATCATTATCTTTGTATATTTTCAACGTAAATGATCATCCTGGATTAAATACATCGTGAAACGTATGCGATCCGAGGAATTAACTCAACGCTACGTGGCCTCGGTCAGGTCAGGTCACCTGTGGGCCAGGTCTCGGGTCCTTATTTCACCATGTTGACCTCAAAAGGAGTAATTAATTGTATAATTATAGTAGGACAAATGTCTACGGAGTATCTAATTGATATTTTCACGTTTTCACATTAAGGGGTCAATTTCATTTTATGTAAAAAAAAAAAAATGAACAAAAATAATGAAAGAACGTAAATGTATTGAAGGGGAAATAAAATTTGGGATTTTTTCTTATGGAGTAATTCCCGCGCGGCTGTTTATAGAAGCAGATGGAATTCGAAGGCTTACTTAATTGTGACTTAAACGGACCTTGCCACAGATCTGCGGTTACAACATCATTCTCTTCTTTGGTAGCATTATGAAAATGATAGTCTCTTTTTTCAAAAACATATACATTTTTGAAAATATTTTAAAGTTAAAATTTTAAACACTTTTTAATATTCAGGCGCTTACACATTATGTAGCGTATAGACAAGCTTATATAAATTAGAGTACAATTTATATA